CAGACACAGAGACAGAAAGACAGACAAACAGAGGGAGACAGGCAGATGTGTGTGTGTGTGTGTGTGTGTGTGTGTGTGTGTGTGTGTGTGTGCATGCACATGCATATGTGTGTTTCTTGTTTGAAAAGAAGCTACTTGGGGTCTTTTTGTTAGCCTCCCAATTATCTTCCATTTGTCTCCTTGACAAAGGCACATTAATGAAACTCATGGATACAGGATGTAGTTGCATTTATTTATATATACTGTATATACCTTTTTACATGTACTATTTTCAAGAATGATTTTCAGCAAAAATAGGAGGCTACAATCATTTCCTTTTTCTAAAGAAATAAAGAGTGGTCTAACTTTTGTTTAACACAAATTCATAGTCATTCAAATTGACAAATGTAACCATTATATATAGGTTTGTCCATCATGTAGTATAGCTAACCAATTTTTTTAAAATATCTTAAATCCCTCATGACAAAGATCATTGTTGCAGAAAAAGCAAGAACAGAAAAATTCAACTGTCTTAAGAAATGTACAATAATGTGATATAATATCTCCCATGATGGCAAGATAAATCCTAATTGCTAATTTACAGCCATTTGTAACACAGAAGAGAAAGTAACATCTGTACAACTTTATGTGATTATCTCAAAATTATTTGCAAACTATCCGAAAACAGAAAGTTGAATGAATACCATTCTATTCCAATTTTTGTATAAAACCATAACAATTAAAATTAAACATACATGCAGTCTATTTACATACATGTATTTTTAATTACAGTAAAAATTTCTGATTAATTTTCATACATACTTACATAGTCTTTTAATTTATACACTGAATTTATAATAAACACTTTTTCATTTTTACAAAATAAGAGTCAAGGTCCAAATCAAACATTTCCTCATTCAATTATGCACAGCATAAGACCTAGTTATTTCCTTAATATTACATCATAATTTTCCCACTTTTCACCAATAGCACCACAATAAAAACACGAAGGACTTTCTTTTCCGAATGGCATTACGCTACAAGGATAGTCGGAAAATAAACAGCCACTCATTTTCGCATTCTTTACCCTTGTTCCTAAGATAATTACAGTATAATAAATATATGGGATGGAGGGTGATAACGGAGCAAAAGCATGTGGCCTCGGGATGGACTTGTTGTGCATCTCACTCGGGAGAACCTTGCATTTCCCTGATTAGTCTTACATTTGTGAGTTTTCCTAAATTACTGAATCACAGCATTATATTTACATTGGCATATGATTGATGAGATGTTGTACAAAATAAATAGGGTGCATGTGTGTGTGTGTGTGTGTGTGTGTGTGTGTGTGTGTGTGTGTGTGTGTGTGTGTGTGTGTGTGTGTGTGTGTGTGTGTGTGTGTGTGTGTGTGTGTGTGTGTGTGTGTGTGTGTGTCTGTGTGTGTGTGTGTCTGTGTGTGTGTGTGTGTGTGTGTGTGTGTGTGTGTGTGTGTGTGTGTGTGTGTCTGTGTGTGTGTGTGTCTGTGTGTGTGTGTGTCTGTGTGTGTGTGTGTTGTGTGTGTGTGTGTGTGTGTGTGTGTGTGTGTGTCTGTGTGTGTGTCTGTGTGTGTGTCTGTGTGTGTGTGTGTGTGTGTGTGTGTGTGTGTGTGTCTGTGTGTGTGTCTGTGTGTGTCTGTGTGTGTGTGTGTGTGTGTGTGTGTGTGTGTGTGTGTGTGTGTGTGTGTGTGTGTGTGTGTGTGTGTGTGTGTGTGTGTGTGTGTGTGTGTGTGTGTGTGTGTGTGTGTGTGTGTGTGTGTGTGTGTGTGTGTGTGTGTGTGTGTGTGTGTGTGTGTGTGTGTGCCTGTATGAGTATTTGTACATATGATTAAATGCCATCAAATCATTGAGATGACAGTGTCAGGAAATTCTTTTCCTCATTTTAGAATTTATGATTTACAAGGCTATTAGTATCATTTGTAAACATATAGTATGAAAGAAAATGTACATGCATGAGATGACACTGAATGACTTGTTAACCTTGTGTTGATGTACTACCAAAATTTATGCAAATTTGTGATTTAACGATACAGTTCTGTTAAATCTAGGCATTTTACATAAAAGTATTCTAAGTATATGAATGATGGGTATGATTATGGGAAGTATCTAAGCTTTAATATCACCAATACTCACTTCAGCTTGATACAGTATAAAAAACAAATGCAACATGAGAATGAATCTTAAAATGGTAATTAAATTAACAGCATTAGTGAAATTATGAAATGCAATGGAAACACTAAAATATATAGATATAATAAAAAAATGATTCCTTTCTTAGAACCTCTAACTAGCTTACTTATAATTTATATAGTTGTTCTATCATATTATCCTCCCATTTTACATACTGCAAAAAAATTATACAGTACATTGCAAAAAAAGAAAGAAAAAAAAACTTTTGCTCAATTAGGTTACTAATTCCCAAACTTCTATTAACTAAATCAGAACTAAGAACAACTTGCCTAGCTATCTCGTCATCCTGTCTTAATGTACAAACTGCTTCTTCTTTTAACAAATACTGGACAGTATTACCATTATCTAATATACTGCAATATTTACTAAGTATAGATGTGACTAAAGAATTTGCAAAGCATGAAAAAAATGATAGCTCTTGCCTGAGAAATGTGGATTAAATGAGTTCAAAGTTGATTAAGAACCACTGATAAGAAATAACCTGAATCAGTTCCTACCTATATACCATACAATCAAGACATATCCTTTTAAATTATTTCCTTATTCATTTGAGCATTTCAATACTGCTAGAATAATAACTTGTAATTTCCATGGTACTAAACTAATACCTCAATTGGTATGTTCTAAAGTAAAAGTTCCTGTTTTAGCTATACTTGTGCACACTTTCATGTCGTGATGAGGCACTTGGAAAAAAGACTGTTTAAGAAAAAAGTTTCATATAATGACATTCACAGATCTTCAATAGTTAAATGAAAAACATACCACATAGCCAATGACTGTAATAAATCTTTAACATTAATAAATCCACTAATGCATGAGTAAACTAAAGGGGATATTTACTTTAACATTCTAATACTATTTCATAATAAGTACTTTGCACCATCTTCTAAAAGCTAAAGAAAAATTGCAACTGCCTATATTAATCATGATTTTCATAAACATTAAGCTTTTTCTACCTAAAATATTACTATCATTCCTATCACTTTTGAAATGTATAACATATATCTAATAAGCTATAATGTGACCTGTAATCTAAACCAATATATACACAACATATAAACATGCAGATTCTCAGTTTATGTATTAATAAGAAATTATCAATTTTGGACATCAAATCATCTCATAGGATTTAATCATCATAACCAGAAAAAATATTCAGCAGTAATGTGGCAAAGCAGATTTTTTTAAACTATAAAGTTACCGGCAGGTTTGTAGACTTCACATTAATAATTATTGCAGACAAATGACATTGATTCAGCAATAAATTAATTACCCTTTTTTCAGAATATATATTAAAAGATATTATTTACAAGTACTTATTAGACTTAAAATAAATATGAAGTATATGCAAAAAAGCATTGTTGTTTGTAACAAAATCACTTTTACATATCCCTATCTAGTAAAGCATTGCAAATATGTCAACTTTGATCTACTAATTTTGTAGCTCAGTTTTCTTCAACTTGATAATATCTTACATGTTAAAAGCCACTGTTTATATATAAAAAAATAATGTATGTTGTTTTGCAACTCCAGGAATCACTTCCCAACATTCCCAACTTTTATATATATATATATATCAATCATTACCCATCTTCACAGAAATGATTAAACTGCTCTTAACAGGGTATTGTTATGAGCTAAATATATCAGGCCTAGATTCCACCAATGATTTGTAATTACACAGTCATCTGCACTAACAGAGACATAGATTGGGGTTTAGATTATTTAGGAACTCTCAGATAAGGTTGGGGTTGGTCAATCCTAGGCAGCACATACAGCAAATCTGCTTTGCCTCTAGCAGTATAGGACACACTACATATAAGGACAACTTTGATTTGTTTGGTGAAGAACAAGTTTGGCCTGAGCAAAAAAAGTTAAGTGCTGGATTAAGAAATGATTTTGAGATATATAAAGTTTTATATTAGGTTTAAGTGTGACTTAACCAGTTCTTTAGTAACACAAGGTTGTGCAGCTATTTATCAGTCTGACTGAACCAAGGAAATTCTTCAAAGGCTTAGCCAGCGACTATATATATACCTACACATAAGGCAGTTATCAATAAATTATATGTTCATATCAAAAGTTACTGCCATGAACATTCTCAAAATAATCTCTGTATATGAACAAAGAAGGATAAAAATTTGTTTTTTTACAATATATCGTCAGTGTGAGTGATAAAAATGTGGTGACATTTTCTTGGATTCAGTATGTAATTAAGGTCAATCTCTATGCACTTGATCTTACAAGTGAAGGATACCTTGAATGTGAGAAACATTAATCATGACACTTAGTTAAATTATTTCCAATTCATTCTCTCTACAAGTAATATTTTACTGGTTTACCACAGAATTACAATATCAGAGCGAGAGAAATGGAGGGAGGGGTGAGTGCACACCAGAGAGATACTGGTTCATCACAGCCAAATGTGATTGATGAAGCATGTACATTTTATAAACCATGGTTAAGTACACTCCATGAAGTAAGCAAAAGCTGTTTTTCTATGTATAATATTGTAAGGCTTCTAATACTGCAAGCAGGAGCATGCTCTGAATGAAACTGTTTTGTCACTGGCTTAATTGACATGAGAGGTTTCAAGAGAAAAACTATGATGGTATAATGTCATAATTTAAGTGTATATCACAGAAATGTGAGCTCTTGGATTTCAGATATCAATATTGTATGAAGTCTTATTTTAGTCATCAAAAGCACTCAAAATGACATGCAATAAGTGGTAAGAAATTGCAATGCAAAACTCTTAATAAGTGAATTAGTGATGATACAGGTTAATACTTAAAAATGTTTTGTATATGGCAAATAAAGTCTTATCATTTGCCAGTATGGATTACTGTCATACCCATTCTCCCAACTTATCTTTCGCTTCAGAATTCCCTGTCTCTTGTGACATCTCTAGTTCTGATTTTGGCTTTTCTTCTGCAATTGGTTCTAAGCTAACTGTGGACATATTTTCAAAAGGTTTTTCTGCAATGGGTTCTAAATGTCCTCCTGTCATCGACTCAAAATGCCTTTCTGGTACTTTCTCAGCAATGGATTCTAGGTGCCCTTCTGACACTTTCTCGGCAATAGGTTCTAAATGGCCCACTGTTACTGGCTCGTAGTGCCTTTCTGGTATAGTTTTTATTATATCATCAGCTATAGTATGCAAGTCTTCATCTGCAGCAGCTGGTTTATAAGCTCCATCTGGTTCTTGGAACATAAATATCCCACCTGGCTCTTCCACAGCAGGTTTATGAGGACTCATTTCCTCTGAAGACATTGCAAAGTCTCCACTAAAAGGATGAGACAGGCCTTGCTCCCCAGGTGGTTCATTACTGTGTATCTTACTAACAGGTGAGAATATTTGCTGAGGAGGAGACCTGACACTCTGTCCCGGAACATTTTGATGATGAACCAAAGCAGCAAGGCTTCTGGACTCTCTGCACTGCTGTACTGGGGATTTGTGAGCTGGGGAAACCGGTTCACTTGCACTGACTGACCTGGAATCTTGGTTTTCGTATTTTGGGTATGTAAACTTGCTGTATGGGGGTGTACCAGACACAGGGCTCTTGCTACCACTGTAAGGGAGACAAAAAAGCTTAAAAGAAGGAAAAGTTCAAGTAAAAATGATAATGGTACTAAACTTCAAAAGACAAAAACATATCAAAGGAGACTGGAAACACACCTGAAGCTCCTCAAAGATGCAGTGCTGCCATTGTCAGCATGGATGGATGGGGTTGGGCTAAGTATCTTTGTCAGTGCTCCTTTGAAGTTCAGCCCCCTCCGTCTCTTTCGGGCCAGAGACGCTGGAAATAATTTTTTTGTTTAGCTGCTAAAGTGATTATTATCTTTATAAAAGTCTTGGGAGAAAATATTAAATACTGTAATACTATAGCTGCAAAATCACTTACCAAAAACATATAAACATATGAATAAAATTTTTCTTCACTTTGTTTTGTTTCCTAAACATATTTTAAAACTGTCAATGATCACAATGGTTATATAATGAGTTCTATTTCATATTTCTTTTTACATTTCTCTACATCACAACCATCTGTCATTTCCCAATAACATTACTCATTTTACTCGTTTGACTGTTTATGAATGAGTGAGGTAAAGACAAGATAATGAATGATCACTTACATCATAACTATTAAACTGCTGAGAACCTGAGTTTCGACATGATATATGATGATGATACATAATCAACTTTCACATGAAAATACAGCTTATAAGCATGATAATACAAGTAGGCAAGAAGTAAAAAGATCACCAGACAAACTGGAATACAAAGATATTACTTGATATGAAACTAACATTGAAATAAAAATCATTTCAGACAAAATTTGTAAATTGTGAAAATAATGTTCATACAAACAGCAT